CCCTGCGAGACCTTGTTCACAGAGAAATTGCCATTACAGACTGCAGAAGAGAAACGGAATACAACTCACATCCATCTCAGGGTGGTTTTTAAGGGGTAAAAGACCAATCCTTCCTTGAGGGATGGTCAAGGGCATGTGTTGTGTAGGGGCAGTTAACTGACTCGGTACTAATGAAACTGAAAAGTGCGGTTATGAAGGCAGCAAATCACTGCTCTTATAAAAGCTGGGGTAGAGAAACAATGACCCTCAAGTTTTAAGTGAACCATAATTACTTCATCCCACTCATCAATCAAAGACACACCCTTTAAAAACGGCCAGTTGTAAAGGCTGGGCTTAATTGATCAGAAGGGACAAAATTTTATGCCGCCCCACCTTCTTTCCTAAGCCAAGTGAACTAGTAATTAAAAATTCCAGGTGTCCCTTCATCGATTACCTTTCCATACGTTTCCCATAACTGATGTCCCCAGAAATGACTTAACTAAGCACCTGACCCTCCCAACCATTGCTAAATCCTCAGATTAAGCAGTCTTGTCTGCAGACAGGTAGCACAGTGATGGGGAAACAGTGAAAGTAATCTTTTTATAACACACAGGATGGAAATTTCAAAGCGACTTCCTACCTTCCACTGACTTTGAAAACAGATGTGAGTTTGGGCAGAAACAGTTTCTCTCTTAGTGTTCGGATCCTACTAATCATTGTAAACGGAAGTTTCACACAGGCCAACCGGATGTCAAAGGTCTTGCCAACAGGGATGATTTTACCGTACAAAATCAGCTCCCTGCCCTTCCCAGTCTTGGAATTTCCAGGGACAGAGGCAGTGGATAGCTGCCGCGTGCAGGCGAAGGAAGCAAAAGTGAAAATCCGGAGACGATGTTCATCTCTGGTTTCGCGCACGAGCACTTGACCCGCGTTTGCACCCAATACGCCCCTGACCTCGCTTCTGCAACAGAGGCTTACCACCCACATCACTGAGTTCTACAGCAGCCGGTAGAGATGGGGCATCCTAAACCACTGTTATCTGAGAGCAAAGTAAGACCTGAGCAGGTGGAAAGACGTTTCTAAAGATAAAGAGCTAAGTGAGGACAAGTCAAAAGCACTAAATACCTCACCTCAGAAAACAAAACGCTGACACCAGGTTTGTGGTTCCCAGGACAGCGCTCTCCCTCCTCGTCCCCCGCCCCCCCCCCCCCCCCCCCACCCCCCCCGCGTGGGCTCCCTAGGTTTCGCAGCCTCACCCTCTTGCCAGCCAGCTCATATATTTCCTTCTGCATTAATCTCAGCTGTTCTCGTGGCTTCTCACACACCTTCTGTAAATGATGGCCATACCGAGATCTACAATCCTAACCTGTCTTCCGATCTCAACACCAAACTGCCAGATGCTTCCCGGACATCTAAGGCAGGTGGCCTCTCACAAGTAGAGGGCTCCAACCCCAAAAATTCAGGATACTCCCACTAGCGCCCCCCTACTCTGTGAACCTCCTGGACCCTGAATTCCTTACCCCATGAATGGCAGCACTGTCTGCCCAGAAACATCCTAAACTTCCCCTTTACTGCAAAAAATTCGGTCATCACTGACCCCAACACGCCCACTCCAGCCCTAGACGAAACCCACATCATCTCTTGCCTGGAAGAGCACGTGGAATCGTCCTCCTAGAATGTGGATCAGATCACGCATTCTAGCAACTCAATGTTTACTGAGTCCTCTTTGCCTTCTCAATACAGATTAAAAACAAATAAATAACTTATTTTACTTTGGCTCAACACAATCCAAAGGATTTCTAAAAGTTCCAGCTGTGGGAGCATGTCATGAGCTACCTTCAGAGAGTGAGCCCCCCCGTCTGTGGGGCTGTATGTGGTCAGCCTACTCTGCAGAAGCTTCCCCACTTTTGCCTGGGAATGAGTAGGAGGGCTTCAGGCATCAGGGAGAAACTGGACAAAATGACCCTCTGGCTCCTCGCAAACTTGAGAGTCTATGCGCTGACATCTGCCTGGCCAGTGGACTCCTTCTGGAAGAGCTGCCCTGCTAGCCGGGTATGCACAGGATTAGATCCTCAGAAGCTACGTTTCTAGCATTTAACCTTGCTTCCTGACCTGAGATGAATGAATCGGGCCAGGGCCTGAGAAGGTGACTTGACAGACACAAGTAGTGGACCTCAGACATCGAACCCTGTTATGGTAGCTCTAGGCTAGGGCCCACACATTCTTGCTGCCAGAGCCCACAGAGTCCCCTTGGTTCCTGTGCTTTTTGCAACCGGATGTTGCAACTTTCCATGAAGTTCACTGGTTTCCTTACAATGGTTTCCCTTTTGTGTGTTTCTAGTCCTTGTGACACCGAGTTTGCTCTAAAACTCCAGGTCCCCTAAGACCACACAGAGGACAGATAAAGGGTTCACCCTTGTGCCAGGCCCTGCTCAGGACTGTGGGGCAGGGAGTCTCGCTCCCGAACCAAACTCCTGCTCTTCCCTGAGCCAGCAAACCAGACCACAGAGAGCCCCCAGGGTACGGGTGGCTGCTCGGGCCAGTTTGCAGAGTAAAGATGTGTCCCCACACCCTCCTTGACCTAACTTTAGTCAGGCTCCTCTGAGCCGTTGGTGGCCTGTCAAGCCCAGTTTTAGCAAAGAATCCTATTGAGCCCAGATTTAGAGAGAATCCTGCTGAGCCAGTTTAAAGAGACTTTCCCCTACCCTTGACATCTAATCAAGTTCGTCCTGGTAATATTGTAGGCACCGAGTCCCCCATCACCACTGATTACAGATCCCGGGCTGCCCTGGCTGCCTTCAGAGTTGAGCTCAGTTCTCCACCGGGGTTTCCCCCCTCTACTGCCACAGCTCCCAAGTCTTGCCATTTTAGACCCGTTAACAGTGTCATTTCTCTTGAACAGATGGGAATGACCTTGCAGGAAGACGCACAGAGCCTGGATGGCCCCTCGGAGCATCGGCCAGCTGGGGAAGCATGGAGCCCACTTGTGTCCTGACTCTGACAGAGACTCTCCTTGATCAACCCAGAGTCAGGCTTCTCTGAGAACTCGATGTGACAAGGCCTCACCCTTGGGCTCTATCCTTGGCCTATTTAGTGCAGTTTTAGAAAGAATCCCGCTTGTTCCATCTAGAAAAACATCCCCCACCCTTGATATCTGATCAAATTCCTCATCCCCCACCTGTCCAGCCAACTTAGCCAAAATCCCCCTTAACTCTTAGACATTTTCAACCCATTGGCCCCCACCCTGCTCCTTGGCGGTGAATCCCTACTTTCCCTTTTAATTCAAAGTGGAGCCCAGACTCTCTTTCCTCCTCGAAGACCCCATGTAGTAGTCTCCCTGAATAAAATCGGCCTTACCCTTTTTACTCAGCCTTATGAATGATGTTTTTTTCCTTTAACAACTGCTTGCCTTCTACGAGAATGCCCAAGGGTTAAGACGACCTCTAAAGTATCTTTCTGTAATTAACACTTAGAAAATACAGATTTAAAAAGAAAGATAGAAAAAAAAAGAAAGGAGGGACAGGAAGGGGAGGGGAGGGAAGGGAAGGGGAGGGGAGGGGAGGGGGGGGGGGGGAGGGAGGGAGGGAGGGAGAGAGGGAGAGAGGGAGGGAGGGAGAGAGGGAGAGAGAGAGAAAGCCAGAATATCTGTATCTCCTCCTCTCCTCCCCGCCCAGGCTTGCTTGGGCACATTCCCTGCAGCCTGGACCATTAACCTGTGGCCTCTGGACCAGCAGGTGCTAGGTTTCTAAGTCATTAAGTGGCTAAGTACCTTGTGAGCAGGCATCCACTGCAGAAGTGCCCGATTAGGCCCTTTCTGAACTAAGCTCGTCCTAGGGAAAAGGAGACGGACGTGTCCACATCTAGGTCACCAGGGCCAGACTGTTCTCACCGCTACCCAGAGTGCTCTGAGGAAAATATGGCATGCTTCCCGATGTCCCCAAAGCCCCTGTGGGGTGCGGGTGGCCAGATGTGCTTCATGAGCCTACCGTTCAGGCCACCCGAAGCACCGGCCGGCGCACTCATGTTCTCACCACCAGCAATTTCTGGGCTAGGTTTTTAAAGGATCCAAACTAAATATCTGCCACTATTAAAGAATAAGCTATAAACCATGCTTTGGGGCTCCAGAAAGGATCGACTAGGAAAGCTTCTTTCAAATAATCTGTCTTGGGTTGACTGTGTCAGTTATGGAGAGGAACTCAGGTCCCTGATACCTTTGATAAGCGCAGGCGGTAAGGGGTAAGGAAGAGAGAAGCTATACATGTGTATAATCACACACACACAAGCATACAAATGTACACAGACATATGTTTCATAGATACCAAGTCATCTGCCACATTTACAAATTAAAATTAAGATGAGGATGAAAAATAAAATTTGCTACATGAAAACACGCATTTACGTTTTGCTCGAGTCTCTGAATTAAAATACTCTATTAACCTCAGACTTTTTACAGTACCATCAGAAAATGGAACCTAAACCCATCTGATTCCTCTTACGGACGGGCAAAAAACAAGCTTGTTTCCGCACCACTTATGTTAACAAACTTAATAATTAAGTTATGAACCGTAACCACCTTGCTGGTGTTGGTGCAGTGTAGGGGCCGTGAACCGAAGCTCCCCGACAAATAATTTATGAATGCACAGATACCATGCCTACACTTAAATCGAGCCTGTTCCGTTGCGAGAATATTCTGTATTTGTCCCATCACTCATTCCTGGCGGAACCCTGCACCATGCTGGCCTGAACCCCCGCAATCTGCAGTAATCTTGGGTCCCGAATGCACTACCCGAGGCAACCAATACTTCTGCATTGTTTGCTTTTTCAGAGACTGCCAACCTAAAAGCCTAGGTGTTTAGAAATTCAAATCAGCTTCAAATCTTGTCAGAGCCACTGAGCTATCATCTTGAGGTTGGGGGGGAGATGAGGCTCCAAACCACATGTTATTATTAATAAAAATAAAGGAGAGAGAGTAAATAAAGGCTTGACCGGGAATGTCACCCGGTCAGAGCCCAGCTCTTTACCTGCGTTTGAGAGACCTTCATTTCTTCCCCAAGCAGAATGATCTCTGGGGGACGAGAAGAGCCGACTGTGGATCTGGAAGATAAACAGAAACCTTCCCAGTTTTATAGTTTTATTTGCCAGATGTATAATCTTCAATGTGTATTATGTATTATTTCCAAGGAATCCAGCAACGCCTCTAGAATCTCTCCAATCTCCCAAGAAAGAACTACAGGTTTTAATGAAGACTTATTTCCATTTTCTCCTGGGTTAACTCTGCAAATGAATAAAGGGTAGGCTTCTGATGATTTCAAAACGCACGAGGAGGAGGAGGGGAGGGAGAAAAAACCATGATCAGATTAATATATACAGAAGTGTTCGGCTGTCTGCAAGTATGATGATGAGGCTGACTTTCTCTGGCAAAAGGCAAAGGTTTGTTTTGCACGTTTATTCTGAAAGCAGTTGGCTGTGGGTGAGACTTCTGGTTGGGATTTCTCAATTTATAATCAGACTCCAGAGCACCTTGTTCCACCCTGGGTCTGCCCCACACCTGCCAACCGTCGCTTGCCCCATGACTCTCCCCTAAAAGTGAAGAGTAACTTTTCCAACCCTCTGCTGTAAGCGCAGCATGATCGGAAGAGGCGAAGCCAGCCTCCAATTCTGAACCTCAGTTAACTTCTTAGTCCCAGGCTGAGCTGAGCTTTACGATGTACGGTTCCCATGTTGGCCATTCTCATCCCCAGCACCTGGGCAACCAATCTGGGGACAGAGAAAAGTGGGTGGGACCCAGAGCAGGGCAGGGCTGAGACTTGGGGAGTCACACACTGTTCTCTGCCACTCCCTGGGCTTCTCTGCTCTGGGCCCAACTCTGTTGTTGTCTATGAGCGACACAAACTGAATTCTTACAATGGACGTGGCATAGGGAATACTGGATAACACATGAAAAGTTTTCAGGAAGGAAATAAAAGTGCAACACCATTAGACGTTGGGATGAGAAATTATTTAAATCACAAACTGAGCAGAAGAAGCAAGTTATCTCCCTGTTGCTTCAACATGACCAAGCAGGTGGGTCTGGAACCTGTCTTGGGAGAAGGGGGAGCAGATGTACGGAAGATGACTCTGGCTGAGCGAAGATTTTAAGCTTCCCATTTCCTGGACTGTTGTCTTGTCTGGCTCTTTTAAGAAAGATATTTATGCCTATATTTTAAAATAACGCTATCAAATTTAGCAAGTTAATTACCCTGGGACATGACAACACACAATTAATTTTTACCCAGCAAGTCCTGATGGACCACGCAGTCCTAGTCGAGAGCCCCAGCCCCACAGTGAAGTGACAAATACTGAAGTGCCCTGGTTTGGACTGAGGATTGTTCCTCTCTCTCTGGGGACCCAGCAACTGGCAGTGGATGGCAAGCTGACTAGGCCCCACAGCCCTCTGCATCTTCAAAGCCTGGAACCCTTTTGTACAGGCTCTCGGCACTACTGATCCAAGAATTCCCAATGACAGGGTGATTCAGGAATCTCTGTCCTCAACCCGGGTCTCAATCCAATAGTGACATCCTGGGAAGACTTGGCTTTGACTCTGCTTTCTGCCGGCTGCTCATTGTACTCCCTTCCTATAGAACAGCAACACTTTTTTGTCCTGAGGACCAAGTAACAAGAGGGCCCTGTGTGGTCTACACTAGGGAATCTCTGTGGCATCACCAGACACCTCTCTCTAGACCACACACTCTGTAAGAGCTTCCCTGAGCCCCTTGAACACAAATTCTCTCCCTGACTACATGGCCTTTGCACATGCTGTTTCAGCTGCAAAGCATGTTGTTTCCCTGGTCGTCTTCTGGATCTTGGCTCATGTGACCTGATCATGGGAGTATCTGCAGGCACCCGTCTCACAACCAAGTTCCTGATTTATAAGATTTTATAAGATTTTAGAAACACTCCTTTCCTTCAGCACATTCACCTTGGACTGTAAATCTACATGGATTCATGTGAATCTACAAGTGATGTCTGCTTCTCCCCTAGATTCCAACTGCTCTGAGAATAACTTTATTTTGTCTTGCTTGCCAATGTACGGGGCCAGACATATAGTAGGCTCTCAATAAATATTTATTGGGAAAAAAAGGATGGAATGAATGAATGAGAGCAAGCAAGCAAAGCCTCTTTTCCAGGATAAATCATGCACAGTGCCCTCTGGAATCTACCTTCCTGCCTCCTTGGAGGTCATGCCCCTCCAGGATCCCCGTTCTGCCCTCGGTCTTCAACTCCGCCTTCCTCATTTCTAACTGTGTCCAAACCTTTCTGAAAAACAAAACCAGGGGCACCTGGGTGGTTCAGCCAGTTCATCGTCCAACTCTTGACTTTGGCTCAGGTCATGTTCTCAGGGTTGTGAGATGGAACCCTGCGTCGGACTCAGGGCTAGCAGTGGAGCCTGCTTAAGATTCTCTCCCTCTCCCCCAACTCCCCCCTCTAAAAAATAACAAAACAAAACAAAACAACCAAAACTTCCCTCCCACACACATTACCTTCCTCCCTTCAACTTCTCACTCTCAGCGAATCTTCTTGGAGGAGATGGCCACACACTGTCTCTGTCCCATGTCCTCACTTCCCATCAGTCCTCAGTTTACCACAATCTAGACTGAGCCACTGTGAGCTATGTCCCTGAGACGCTTCTCACTGTGCTCTCCAGCGGTCCTCTTGCTGCCCGCTCCCGTGGCTGTGTCCGCCCACAACACCTGTTGGTTACATTTCCTAAATGTCTCCATTCCATCTCCAACTCCCTCTACCCACCGCCTTCACGGCATTCCCGTCCTACGTGCCCAGACCACTGCAACCTCCCAGTTCTCAGCCCAGCGGCCTCCTGCCTCCACCTCGTCACCAGCCATGTTTCCATAAAGCAAATCTGGTTATGTCCCTCCCAGCTCAAAATCCTTGGGCTTTTAACTCATTCAAAATACAGTTAAAGCTCTATTCACAAGGACCTTTTTGCAGCATGGTTCATAATGGCAAGACACCGGAGGATTCTGCAATATCCAACACCAGGGAATAGCTCTGTAGGTCAGAGCACAAGTGTTAATGCATCCCATTAACATGATAACAATGTTCATGGTCTGAGCTGCAGTCCCCACAGCTACAGACCATGACAACACGTCATGGGCAGCCTTGAATGCTACGGTAACTTGGGTGTTATTTCCTAGGTGACGGGGAAGTTTGGGGGATTTTTGAACAAGGAGAGTGAGTGCTTAATGTTCAGTTAAAGTAAAGCAAGTGGAAGGAGACCAAATTGGAATCGAGGCGATCAAGAAGAGAACATTCTGATTAGGATCAAGGACATTAAAAGAACCATGACACCTCGCAGTCATAGGGAATGTTCCAGGCTGCAAAGTTCTTTTATACACATTACCTCCTTCTGACTCTCCAAAGTCCCTGAGAAGTGGCCAGAACATGTAGAGTTCTTATTTTATAAAGAAACAAAGGTCGGGGCGCCTGGGTGGCTCAGTCGTTAAGCGTCCGCCTTCGGCTCAGGTCATGATCCCAGGGTCCTGGGATCGAGTCCCTGAATCGGGCTCCCTGCTCAGCGGGAAGCCTGCTTCTCCCTCTCCCACTCCCCCTGCTTGTGTTCCCTCTCTCACTATGTCTCTGTCAAATAAATAAAATCTTTAAAAAAAAAAAAAAAAGAAACAAAGAAACAAAGGTCGAGGGAGTGTGAGAGACATCAGTGCCCATGGACAAGAAAACGGGGCTCTGGCACCTGCACCGGCCCTCCCGTCCTCGGGTTGGCATTCTTTCCACACCACCTCACCACCTGCTACCATAGAGGGTCCAGCCTTACCAACACCGCTACCAGCAGAAACTCTGTGGTCAAGCCTGACACGAGCTGAGACACTGATAACATAGACAACAAAATGATCAATGAATTCCATCAGGAGCCGGAAGCTGAGCACTGGTGAGATCTGAACACCGTGGGTACAAGAATATTAGAACCATCCATTTACAGAAGACTAAACACTTTACAAAGCAACTCTCATATTCTCCCACCTGATTCTCCCAAGTTGTGCCATAATAGCTGGGCCCTAATGAGCAAATATGCTATTGTTTTTGCTGTTTTTTATTGTTTACCGACTCTCCCTTCAAGATATCGGAGTCCTCACTATGGATCCATAATCCCTTATCTGCAATTCTAAAATCCATAAAGCTCTGAAATCTGAGAGGTTTTTTTCTGAGTTTGCAGAAAACTAATCTGACAGCCAAACGTTACCTGAACTAACCTGAGGCTATTTATAATATTAATTTATTCCATTTAGTGTGAATATTCATACATTTTATTGCAAAAACATCAGTGAGCTTAATTACAGGGTGCTACCTCAAATCCCACTAGAAATGTTGTGCAGTGTAACTTGCTGAAATAAAATCAAGAAATCATTGTTGAATCACATTTGGCCCCAAGAGTTCTGGATGGAGAATTGTGGATTGGTACAACAGACATTTAATAAACTTGCCAGTCCCTGAGTTCAGGTTTTCCATATCTAGCCCCTCATCCAGTACCCACGAGATAGTATCTCTGCATTTTATGGATATGAACACTGGAGCATGGAGACATTCAGTAATTTGCTCTAGGTCACAGAGCTACTAAATGCCAGAGCCAAGACCCTCTCCAACTAGGACATAGTGTTCTCAACATTCCCCATATTAGCACGTGTGTGTGTGCATGGGTGTGCATCACATGCGTGCATGTGTGTGTGTGAAGGGGTGGCCAGGGCTTTGTAAAGCATTGAGCAAGTAAAAAGGGACCAAGTAAAGAAAAAGGAAAGAAGAGAGAAGAGCAAACAGCTAGGTCTTCTCTTTAGGATGATGGGAGACATTGCTGGGATCCAAAAAAATAAAATAAAATAAAGAGGGCCATTTCTTTTCAGCATCCAGTGTTGGAGATCCCACTAGAAGGCAGATAGCACGTCACAGGGAGGGTTCTGGCATGGAGTGCCAATGGGTTAACGCAGTCTCTTGGGGGCTGGAATACACTCTCCGTGGCTAATCTGGATGCATGGTTGATCTTCGCCAGCATTGCGTGTTTGTATTCAATCCTCTGAATTCTCTTCTGC